CTAGGATTTGGAAATATAAGATATGGCCTCCGGGGTATGAGAAAGGGATTTACCTAAAAATATTCCAAGAATAAAAAAACAGGGCTTCTAAGCGAGTGCAGAGGGCCTCTCCTTTGGCCGGAAGTGCCCTCTATGACCCGATCTCGCTCCCTCGTGGGTGAATCACCGACTACGACACTGGACGTAAAGCGCGCGTGTCTGGCAGTTAGACGCCTAAGCTGTGAGGCGAACGCGAATTACAGTCACATGTCAGAGAGCTGTCATGGCCCTCTCAGAGTCTGGTCGCGGGGCGAGGCGCCACCGCACGGGACCGGCACAGGGGGCAACATTGTGCCGCGGACGCGTGTGGTGGCGAGTCACCCCACATCTCTAATATGGAGTATGGGAACATTCCGTCAGAGCGCCGATCTACGCTGTTGACACGCATGGGGGGAGGGGGGGCACGCGATCAGATGGCCCAAGGAATGTCGCTGACACGCGAAGACGCGTTTATGTTACCCGAGGCAAATGGCGGCTAATCATCCTGATCGCAAAACAATATTCGACGCCGAGCTCAAATGATTTGTCAAGTCTGATGCGGATACCATGGAAATAATTATACGTTTTTACGCGACATGGTGATGAGCAATTTGATCGAACGAGCCATTCGCCGCATTACGCGAGGCAATATGAAATATGGATCTTCACTTATAGACGCACACATGAGATTGCATAAAATGAATAATGCATGTGAACGTGCAGAAAGCCAAACTACACAATACTGCCCGCCTCCGCTTTCTCCATCCAACCTCCTCTTCCCGTCGAGTTCTCGATGACGTCACCAGCAAGGTCGTCCGGCCGGGCAGCCCCGCCGCCGCCACTCACCAGTCCTGCACGCTATTGAAAGACTCCTCATTCGTGATGTCGTACATCAAGATGAAGCCCATGGCGCCTCGGTAGTATGCCGTGGTGATGGTCCGGTACCTCTCCTGACCGGCCGTGTCCTGTGGAGCGAGCCGTGGGATTGAACACGCCGTCAACGGCGCCATAGCTTATTATTTTTTTTGTTGTATTGATGTTGGCATCGTCGTTTAAAGCTAACGAGACGAGACCTTGACAAACGAAGTCGAGGTGAAGGGTTTGGGAATACCATCTCCAGCATTTTGGGTGGCACTGCTGCCGTTGACGTGGCGAATGGACCAATATCATTCGCATACGTGAAGTAGGAGCCATCTATTATTAAGGCGGTGGTACGAATGACTAGGGTTGCTGTTGTGAGTGAGTGTGCCGTTACATAATACAAGTCATATAGCCAAGTGTCGCGTACAAGACTGGATTTTTACTGACATACAGAAAGCGTAAGGTAGGTTTTATGACTGTAACTAACATGTGTCAGTCAACTTGATCTCGGGCCTTTTTGGCCTGGGCCGCTGTAATTGACAGACAATGCTTTTATCGCCCCAGACCGTCTCAGCCAACAGCACAGTGCTACACACGTTTTCCTCGCACCTGAACACCATTCGCCACTGCATCCCCTAGCATCTTCTCCGAGCGCACCCCTATCGTGTGCGGTGGGCCCGCACACGGAGCGGCTGAGCACATGGGCGGGGTTCTCGGGGCGCACCGCCCCCGCACGGCCGGCCGGCAGCCATCAGTCAGCGTCGGTGACTTCCGGAGGTGCAGTCCGGGCTGGCGGCTGACAGCGGCGTCCGGACCGGCCGCGGCGCCGACGGCCGGCCGACCAACGGTGCGACACAGGGTCATCGATCGCACTGCACCGCCCCCCCCCCCGCCCAACCCCCACACCCTCTGCTTCACCGGCACAGGACGGAGGCGGTGCGCACGGATACCGAGGGGGACGGTAACTGGACAATGTACGGCAATGAGATGGTGGCAGTGGTAGATGCCCGGTGTGGGGAAATGACTTGTTTAGAGGCGGGGATGTTCAGACAGGCTTGTTCGTTTTCCTATTCAGTTTTTTTTTGGCTCCAGCTATGCTCTCCCGACTTGGGTTTCAGCGCCCCTCCCACAACTTTTAGCAGAAAGTGGGTGAAATCCGGAGAGAAACACGTTTGTTGTCAAATTTTGTGTGTAGGTTGCGTCATTTTTCACTGCTCAACTCACACTACACGCACTCATTTTACGAAACTACGGCCCTGTTATGAGGAACGTTTTTCAAAGAGCGCGTGCAATTTCAAGAGGACTGTGGGGCACTGGTAAGGGGATGCACGACGTGGTGTGACTTCATTATCAATCTCTCGTGTTCTGACGCCTTGCCAAGGTGTCGCTCTCAGTATCGCAGAGTGTAGGGACGCGAGCACGCCCGGTTCCCCGGCCATTGGCGGCGAGTAAGAAAATACAAAACAATAACGGAAAATGCATCCAAGTTTTGCAAACAGAAAGAACAGTACGTTGATTTGTTAAAAGGAACAGCAATTAATAGAGGATACTTTTGGCCAGGACACAAAGCTCAGAACTAAATTGTCGGTTTGTGTGAGGTTGTTTTGATTCTGCTCCTCTA